TAGTGATGTTATACCTGCTATACTGGTGTAGCTGTGCAACAGTTTATGATGATCGCAAGATGATTTCTAAAGCCATTTGAAATCCATGCTGATAGACCTAAAATGAGTCAGTTTTTATTTTATATTTCATAGAACAAAATACGAGTTCCTTGTGTCTTAGTGTGTGCAGCAGTGCAGGTTTAATTAAGTGGCCTACATAAAAATGGGTTCTCAATTATGAAATAGTAACAGGGTGTACTAAAGTTGGGAAGTATACTGACTTACATTTTCAAATATACAAAACCTCAAGAATGGTGCCTCTTGATATGATTACAACTAGACTTCTTCCTTGAAGAAGTAGTTTGTAGCCTGGGATTATTTGCATGCATAAAGTTGTCATTTGTCACTGAGCTTCAGAGAGCATTTATAATTTTCTTTTGTTGCTCTGGATGGTGAATTTATATTGTTTTAGAGTCCTATGCATTTTAATAGTGTTTATATAATATTCTTAATCCCAAAAGCATTTTTTCACTTGAGATGTTGCATGTTTAATGTATGCTCTTCTGTGTTTTGAATGATTTGCTGAGTATGTACTACAGAGGAATAAAGTAGCATTGCTCTCAGGAAATCCAACTGTTCAAGAAAAACAACACATATTAAAATTTAAGCAAGTACTTTTGTTTGCTTAGGATGTACTGTGCTGTTTCAGAACTATAGTTTATATCCAATTGTTCATCTCGACAAGAGTAACCCACTGAATCAAATGGACTGCAGTAATTGTGCATTTACATAAGTCTCACTGTTTTGTTATGTGTACTCTAGTTGGAGCTAACAATTGAATTTAGCCTCTGCGAAGTTCTACTGGAGATGGAAAAATTAACTGTTGTATGATAACTCAAAGTCCTTTTTAGTTTTAGGATTAAGCAAGTAGTCTCCAGTTTACTTAAGTATAAGGAACAAAATAAAAATTGTTGAGAAAAGAGAGAGCAATTTATTTATTTTTATTTCTTATATATCCTGCTTTTTTCTAATGGAATATACAGTTGACATCCACTCTGTTTTATCTCTTCAAAATCAGAGGTGGGGAAGAAATATTTGGCTGCTGGTAGATTGATTGACCGTCACCCCCAACTCAGAAAGGTCCCTCCCAGCTAAACCTAAAAAGACAGCATGCAAGATTGAAAATAACTCCAACAGTATGCTGTTCTGTATTTTGAATGATTTGTTGAATATGTGCTACAGAAGAATGAGGATTTCAAAATTGTGTAGCCATGGGACTGCAACTTTCAAATAAACATGACATAGTTCAATTTAATTACTTAATACGTTTCCAAGTAGAAGAAAAGGTAGAAGAAAAAGGTACTTTATTATTGGAGGATAAACTGGAGATGCTAACAGCTAGAGATGCTAGTAGCTGTTAGCATCTCCAGCTGTTAGCATCTCCCATACAGAATATGGGAATATGAAGAGCATCAGTATACATGAAGATGATCAAGGAAGATTTAAAAAAGGGGTTAACATTAGTATTGGGACAAAAATGTCCCTTACTGCTTTTCAACAAATTGTGATGCTGAGAAGCAGAAGTGACTTATTCTGATTATCAGCAGGTTGGCATCATTTGGGTGAATGAGGGGCATTTTAATTCTCATTGGTTTATACAATTCAAAAAGTTTGCCTTAAACCCAGTGCCAACCATACTACTACCTCTGTTGCTTCTTCTTAGTACATTGGAATTCTAATGGTATCATTGAAATGTGTACTTATCAGAATTTGTTCAATGCTTGCGTTATTTTTTTTAAAAAAACATTTAGTGCATAAAAGTTATCGGTACTTTTAAAATATCTTTTAACCAAATCACTTGAGCACCCCAAGTAACCAATAAGTTGCTTTCATTCATTTAGAAAGCACATCCTATAACTGGACCAGTTTAGCATTAGACACAAAGTGAGATATAATGTATGGCTCATTGTAACATTAGCGACAGAGACAGCATCACAAGCAGAGGATCATCTGGTAATTTGAAAATTCCATGTGCTCAAGATGAACAATGCTTCACATATAAAGCAGGGTTCATGTAAGCCTGTTTATGTGATGTCTGGTCTGCATTACAACCACAGTTAAGTGTGGAGCAGCATAAATTTGTTATGGTGACCTTAAGAATGATTAAGTTGTCCTACCAAACATCTGCATGACTGAGTACTGGTGAGTTGCATCAAATATCCCACTCCCAGTCATTGGTAAAATAATACGAGCTGGAGTTTGTGGGTGAAGAGAATGTACTGTTCTGTGCAGTAGTGTGTTGACAATAGTTACAGGTTCAGATATAGGACAAAGGCTCCCTAGAGATAGGTACGGTCCATTTTATTCCATATCAGTGCTATCTGATGGTGACTTCTAAATTCTCCATTTCCCCATGGTAGTTGTTCTGGCACTTAATGACATTCAGTTTCATTTTATAATCTTTCCTTGGGGACTGACCAGAACAGTCTTGTTCTATTTTAAAAGGGGACTGTAATCTGAATATGCTAGGAGGTGTTAACCAGTCTGGCGGTCTTTGTCAAATCTTCCGGGAAGACAAGTCTATCCAACAAATGTAACACATTATATCTGTGAACATGCAGGTTTCAGAGGTGAAAAAAATGGTTGAGCATAAACTTCTCCTTTTTTGTCCACCCAAGAACATTCAAAGTAAATTATTTATAACAATTTTGAATTTATGGGAATCATGATAAGATTTTTCTCAGTTTCTGAGAACAATATATCTATTTGTTATGAATTTATGTATATCATAGTGTGTACATGTGTGTAAAATATGAATGTGCCGCTTAGAATGGGAAAGAAGCACCATAAAAACTCAGTGTACTATAAGTCCCTATCTAATGAAAGGGCATTTTCTGTCATAGTGATCTTAGACACAATGGTATTTCTACTGCATATTCTGTTCAAGAAGAAAGCGTTTAAGTAGTGTATAATATAGAAAAATCTAGGTTACCAATCACATAAGTGGGAAATGTTCCTTAAAAGAGTCTAGCCCTTTTTCTTTGCATACTCAGTATGATTCAGTCTTGCGCCAGAGTAATTTTCACCCCGAGGAGATGTCTTGGGTTCTTTTTGTCTCATCTAAGAAAGTAGGTCTGTTCTCTGCCTGACTGCTCTGCCTCAGGAGAAAGCTATGAGAACAATTGCTGTCAGTTGGTGAGGAGGCTGAATGTATATGATCAGTGAGTAGTTACTCTGGAATTTGGCCACAGCACTATTGTTATCTGTATAATATGAAAATAAACAGCAGATGCTCATAGAGTATGTCCAGCAAATCCCCAGTGAACTTTATATGACCTTTCTATATGTTACATGTAGTACCTACCCTGAATAATTTTCTTCCGAAAATGGACTATGGGGAGATTCAGGAAAGAACATCATTTTTATGAGGCTTTTCCTAATTATTCATTTGCATATTTTTTTTACAGAAATATTTATTTGTAACAGATTTTACTAAGGTCTACCATGGATGCAGTACACATGCAATGAATGTATTATAATAGAGTGCTCTCCTCCATCATCAACTATATGTTGATGGGCTAGTGTGTATGAGGCCATATCGGGGGGGGGGGCTGTTCACATATCCCATATCTATGTTTTAGCCTCGCTCTCACTCCATATTCGGTTGAAGTTGTGGCTCTGTTCTTCAGCAACAGAAAAGGACATACGGAAGTTATGTAGAGGCCTGTTGTGATCCATGTTTGCTCATGAGAGAAAAGGCGAAGAAATAAGGCTCCAGTATATCTTGATGCTTCTGTGTGTGAGTGCTGAGCTCATGATGGAATAAACTGAATCTCAAAAAGCTAAAACATATAGCGTTGCCTCTAATAGTTTTTGTTGACTGCACTGTGGAAGGGTGCCTCTTCATGAAAACAGTAAAATTTTATATTGGCCATTGGCAACCTCTAGTTTTTACATGGCTTTATAGTGTATTTTAGTACAGCATATGTCTGAGAGTGCCTGCAGGTAAATGGCTTCTTCTACGACTAATCAAATGGCACTATGCAGTAATTCTACCTCTCACCAACTGGTCAGGAGTAGGAAGAGAGAGAAGTGAGCAGCAGGAAAACAAGGAAAGGTAACAAAGGAGTGTGGCATTGTCTGAACTTGTGTTTTGTGGACAAGGCAAAGCAACTGCACAAGAAAAGAGGCATCTAGAAGGACTCTGTGTCTCAGCTTTTCTTCTTTGGTTCCACTGGAGTTCCATTTAGTTCTACTGGAGAAAGTGACCTGAAAAATTTTTGACATTTGATTTTACTGCTTAAAAAAGCACAAACAACTTCAAATTGAAAGGCAGATAAATTTAGAATATGCTTTCTTCTGTTGATGCATCGTTTTTGTATCTTGCATATAGCATTTAAAATACTGTAAGCAAGATAAAATAATTTCTTAAAAAGAATTATGATCAGATTTATTATAATTGTGTTGATTTATAGAGGGGACCAGTTAAAACAGGGGTGGCCAGAGTGCAGCCCAGGGATCATATGTGGTGTTGCAAGGGGGCCTAGTGTTTGTTTCCTTGGAAATAGCTAGCTTCACCAAGGGACCATTTCCTATTCTAAAGCATGAATGGTATCCTTACTCCTTCACTCCTAAGTGTCTCTCTCTCTCTCACACACACTCCTTCTCTCTCCCTGAACTGCTATGCCTAAAGTTCTGTGTGACTTAGCTAGACTTTTTTGTGACTTTTGCTGCACCAGATTTAACAAGGTTTCCACTTCTGAAATCATAATGTCACATTTCCAATATTTTTAAACATTAATCTGTTCTATAAAAGACATATGCTCATTTTATTTTCTTCTTACTCTTTTAATTTTTATTCAGTTTATTATAATTATCTTTGCTTTATTTATATGCCACCTTTCTCCCCAAAGAGGATCCAGTCATCAGTCTTATTTTGCTGAAAATGCAATTATTTTTTAAACTGAAGAATATATCATAAAGGAAGGATATGTAACACTTGATTTCTGCTTTCTGCTCAGCCTGTGATAGTTACCATTGGGGGCCACACTGCAGTAGTCGCTGCCAATGCAAAAATGGCGCCTTATGTAACCCTATCACTGGAGCCTGCCATTGCACTGCTGGATTTAAGGGATGGCGCTGTGAGGAACACTGTGACCAAGGGACATACGGAAACGATTGCCACCAAAAATGCCAGTGTCAGAATGGAGCCACTTGTGATCATGTGACTGGAGAATGCAGATGCCCTCCTGGATACACTGGAGCTTTGTATGTAACTGTTGTGTTTGTTATGTGTGGAATAACAGCAGATTTCACAATTGTCTTTCCTTTCCCAAAAGCTTGGCATGGGTGACAAGATTTCTCTCATCTTGTTGATCATTTCATCAATGACACAGTATATTGGTTGAAATCCAGTTGCAACTAGAGAAGGCTCATTGAATTAGTGAGGATTTGATGAGTTAGCTCCTCTGTGAGTTCCATTGATTCAATGGGCCTACTCTGGTTGTTACTTACAACTGAATTTCAGCCACCATGTTCATGGCTGAGCTGGCGTTTTGAACTTGTTTTCCAGATTGGGTACAACATGCTTTATCATACATAAATAAACAATACGAATAGAATAGAACAATCCTTTGGATCTTTAAAGACCGAAAATGTCTTGGTGCATAAATCTCCACTTTTATCACAGGTTTGAGTTGTTTACTGATAGTATTACCTCATGCATCTGGAAAAGTCAGTTCTGATCTATACAAACGTATGCCACGATAAATATTTGTAGCAGAGTACTTTTTACAACAGACTAATATGGAAGTAAAAGGCAGGTAAACATGAGAAACATTCAGCACACTGTGTTATTCCTATGTCTAGGTGATGCAGCAGACAATGTTGCATTGACACCAGGAAGAGCTAGCATGTTATCCTGACCCAGTAATTAAATTCATCCCTACCCCTTGTAGCATCACTTGCCTTAAGTTGTTGTGACTATGGGGGGTGGGGTTTGCTCTCAGAACCCTTAGAGCAGTGGTCCCCAACCTTGGGCCTCCAGATGTTCTTAGACTACAACTCCAAGAAGCCTTCACCACCACCTCTGCTTGCCAGGATTTCTGGGAGTTGAAGTCCAAGAACATCTGGAGGCCCAAGGTTGGGGACCACTGCCTTAGAGGAAAGGCAAGAGAAAATATAATGCATTTTTCTGTGGGCTGCCAGTATGCTAGTCTTTCTTGAAACTGATAATATACCGCAATTGTTAGGTTGGTCCCAGAGCAAAAGATATTAACAGCAGCAGGATGATATCTTTTGCTGCAATAGTGGGAATGTTAGCAATTCATGCTGAGAAATGTTTGAACAAGACCAAAAAATGAAGTGGGAATCATGATCAACTAATGGGACAGTCTATCGTAAACTGGGTAGTTGAAGCAGACCTTTGGTGAGTGTTCAGCCAGCCAGATAAATAAGTGTGATTGCCACAACAAGCATAAATCCTCTTTTGCTGTACATAAAGAGGAGAAAAGTTACTAGAAAACTGGCTGCTGTTGCAGCATAGATAGCAGCAACAGAAATAGCTGCTTAACATTTTCTCCAGAAAAGGATGAAAATTTTGCAAATCTATCTGCAAGTAAGTACAGGCACAGGTGGGTAAAGTTATTTTTGGGACTACAATTCCCAGAATGTGGCTAGTAGAATCCCTGGTAGCTCTGGGCAAACAAAGTACTACAGTGCTTGTTAGATTTTATGCTTTTTATTTTAAGAAAAATAGCTCAGGTGTAAATCTGATTAAAGCAGAAACATCTGTGACAAAGTGGATACACCATTGCAAACCTTTAATTGCTAATGTAATGTCTGCAATAAATTTTGTTTGCATATTCCATGGTAAGTAAGGAAGTTGTAAATTATTGACAGAATATTCCTTTTACAGTTTTTGATGGTCTTCATAATTCTGAACAGGTTTGTTTTTCATCCTTAAACTGAAAAAAAAGGTGTGACATATAAAAATGACATGATATTTATGGGCAACCATTGAATATTTATTTGTTTATTTATTTATTTAGTTGTGAGGATCTCTGTCCCCCTGGGAAACATGGGCCACAATGTGAAGAAAGATGTCCATGCCAGAATGGAGGAGTTTGTCATCATGTAACTGGGGAATGTGCATGTCCTCCTGGATGGATGGTAAATACACTAGCTGAAATACTAGAAATCCAATGCCGTGGGCCTCTGGTGAGAATTTAACTTGAATTACAGCCTGACATCAACCATGAAAAAGGGAAATGCGTTAGCAAACAATATCACCACAAGGGATCAAAACCAAAGCATTGTAAAAACATATGGTACTGAGCATCCAGTAATTTAGGGGAACTTAAGACTGTCTTTAGTGAACAAAGATGGAAAACATAAGCGTTTTCTTCTCTCACAGGAGGAATCAGTTAATCTACCAAGTCACAGACCGATATTTATTTACATTTCTTTTGCATCTTTTATACTTTTACCAATTCATACATTAATTGTGTCAATGCTTTGCAGCTTCATTTCTAACTATACAAAAATGTAGGTTATTTTTAAAAAGAAAACAAACAGAAAAAAAAAAATCCACAGACAAGTCTTAAATAAGTAGAGCCTTAGGACAGCTGTTGAGAGAATCTGGTAATTTGGGGTAGAAACTGCTCCAAAATCAGGAAGGATCCTTTTTAGTCTAGTCTAGTTTAGTTTAGTTTAGTTTCTGTATTGTGTTTGATCTATGAAGGGCATAACTGCAAGACAGAGGAATGGTGCAAGAATCTAGGGTAGAAGGCAATAAATCAAATGCCAAGATTCTCTTGTGTGAATCAGTGGCTGTTGATACATAACCACAGCTGTTTATCAATGCTGGGATTATTATCGTAGTTGCCATTCCATGTTGCCGGCAGTTTTCCTTTAACATCATTTCCTGAAAGGCAAGGACCAGGGAACAGAGTGTGTGCAACAGATCTTTTTTAAAATTCAGACTGAGAAAGGATTACAAAGGAAAAAGAATTTAATATAACACATCTTGTGTTTTAGCCACTTTACCTCTTGAATATTTGCTTGTATGAAAATATTTGTGTGCAGAAAGAAGGGAAAGCTTTATTTTACAGTACAAAAATTCCAACTAGTTAAAAGTCTAACACGTACAGCAAATATATATTGTAATGCAAGCTTTAAAAATATCTGGTATTTCTAAGATATATACAGACTGTCTTATTATAAGACCATATTGATCTCTTTGCTTTCTTCAAATCTGCCTCATCTTTCTCACTCACAGCTGCACTCCCATGCATAAAACTGAGTTTATGTTCCCCACCAGGGCACAGTCTGTGGCCAGCCTTGTCCTGAAGGGCGTTATGGAAAGAACTGCTCCCAAGAATGCCAGTGCCACAATGGAGGGACATGTGACTCAGCAACAGGTCAATGCTACTGCAGCCCAGGTTACACAGGGGAACGGTAAGAAGATAATCACTTCAACAAATTGTCCCTCTACTATTATTGCATGGGGAGTAAAAGGAAAATTGTAAAAGGGAATGATAAAAACCACGACAAAATTATTGGGTTTCCATTTCGTGTCTAGAATGGATTATGAAATTTTATAATCCTCGGGTAGGTATGGAGGAAGATCTTAGGGAGAAGTTATTTTTCAGGGAAGATTAGCAGCATCACATCTTAGTTCTTTGAGAATTCTCAAGAGAATAAACATGTGGACCATTGGATCAGTTACATTTTCATTTTTCAACAAGGCACAAAACTTCCTCTACTCACTAGTATTTGCCTCAGATATTCAGACTTGGTGCATAGAATTCATTCAGCCTCTTTACAATCTGTTCCTTTTATTTGCTTGTCATCTTCCCTACATCCACTCCTTTTTCCTCTTCACCCTGGCTTTCTGATCCACCTTTCCATATATCTCAATTTCTTTAAGATGTCCATTTTCCATCTTATCTTATCATCACAACAATCCTGTGAGGTGGAATGGACTGAGCAATTGTTTATATCTGAAAGGGGATTTGATCCTCGGTTTCCCTGGTCTTAATCCACTAATCCAATAATTGTGCCACAATAGCCCCCCCCACCCCCGTTTTTTCTCTGATTGTCTTCCATTCCTCTGGATATGATTGGTAACATTCTCAGAGAGAACAGCAGCTTTCCCATTATTTGAACTGAATTTCATTGTATGCTTGCCTTATATGGAATTAGTGTATCTCATGTCAATATGGACCACATAGAACTTCCCAATGGAATCTCTGTTAGCAGTTGAGTTGTAAGAACTCTCTGTATTTTCTGTTTATATTTTATGAAACCTTGCATACTGTCTGTGTTGTTTGAAAAGAATGTGCAGCAGCTGGCCATAACCTTGGCCTCTTCTCCTAACCCTCAATTATCTCTGCATAACCATTTTTAAGTTATAAACAGCAGACACCATTGGTATCGGCTTTTTAAAAAAATTCTTGTTTCAGCTGTAACAGGAAATATCCCATTATGTGAGCTTATGCATTGTTGATTTGATCCTGAAATGAAGGCCCTTCTGTTAGTAGAGTAAATATCTCCACATTTCTTTTCACATGATAGATCCTACCGCATGCTGCAGGAGAAATATTTGAATAAAAATTAAATTACACTTACAAATTAAAATAGACTTCTTACTCTCGTCATGACTCTCACCTCTTGATTTCTTTTAGTGAGCTCCTACTCATTACCAATTAAATCAATTGCTCTCACGGTCCAAGAAAACTGAATTTTATTATCCCTGGCACCCATACAAAACCAGCCTTCTTCCACTAGTCATTTTCACATTGTCATCTTGAAGGTTTTTTTTTCCCCTCTTAGCAACTGTAACTACCATAGTCCACAGAATCGGGTTCCCAGTACAAAATAGTAGAACCAGAATTCTCGCCTACTTCATTGCAGTATAGCTGTCTCACAGGTTATTCACAATTTTTAAGCATTACAAAACAAAGTAAAGCTTTACGCCACACAAATTCTTTTCCCACTTATCTTTTTTCCTGATGCCTTTTGGTCACACATGCACACACCCACACACCCGTGTCGTGTACTAGCTTTCAGAACACCTTACAGACACAGTATTTCCTGTTTTACTATTTTTCTTCCTTTTGCACCCTAACCCTAAACCCTGACTCTGACCCTTGACCCCTGACCGGTGATCCCTAACCCTTGACCTCTGACCCTTGACCCTAGACCTGCCCCTTGACCTCTGACCCTGCCCCTTGACTGTAGTCCTTAACCCTAGACCCTAGCCACTGACCCCTGACCCCCTGACCCTAGACACTGACCCTTGACCTCTGACCCCCTTGACCTTTGGACCTAGTCCTTGACTGACCCTTGCCCCCTGACCTCTGACCTAGACCCTAGACCTTTGACCTTGACCCTAGATAATGCCCCTTGACCTCTGACCCTGACCTTTGACCATAGACACTAACCATTCAGCCCTGACTGTTGACCCTTGACCCTAGACACTACCCCCTGACCCTTGCCCTTGCCCTCTGACCCTGACCCTTGACCCTAGACCTTGACCCCTATGGCTGACCCTTGACCTCTGACCCTTGACCTCTGACCCCCCCTTGACCTTTGGCCCTAGGCCCTAGACCCTAAATCCTAAACCATAACCCTAAGCCCTTCCACAATGCAACAGGGAGCCCTTATAGAATTTTTAAAAAAGATTTCTCTTAAAATAAATATTCCAAGGCATTGTTTGGATGGCAGAAATAAATGGAAAAGGAGGAAAATGTGAACCCTAAGAAACAGAAAGCCAGATGCAATTTATACAAATCACTTTGACCTGCAAGAATTAAGCTTTGAGTGCTTTAAATGCCTAAATTGCAGAGCACCCTCCCACAAAATTATGTTGAGAGGGCTACAATTCCTGGAAGATTGACTGCTGGCAAATGATGGGTTGTACTTCACTAGGACTGGGAAAAATATGTTTGGTTGTTGTGGGTTTTTCGGGCTCTTTGGCCGTGTTCTGAGGGTTGTTCTTCCTAACGTTTCGCCAGTCTCTGTGGCTGGCATGTTTGACCATAATATGAAGAACTTCATCAGGGGGACTTTAAACTGAATTGGAAGCAGGAAGGAGATGCAAGGAACAGACTGTGCAGCTCTAATGAGTCATGATAATAGTCTTCATAAAAATGTATGAAGGAAAGCAGGCCACAAAACACACACTCTCCGGTGCCTATGTATGAATGCCAGGAGTATGGAAAATAAATGAGAAGAACCGGAAATCTTAATTCAGATGGGTAAATATCGCTTGATAGGGAAAACTGATATTTGGTGGGATGACTCCCATGACTGAAATACAGCAATTGAAGGATATAAACTGTTCAAAAAGAACACAAAAACAGAAATAATTGGAGTCAAAAATAAATATTCTTGCAAAGAAATACAGAAGGATGAGCTTGGTTGTCTCATTGAGAGCATCTGGATTAATATAACTGGGACAAGAAAGAAAAGAAACATAGTAGTTGGAAACTACTTCCAACCACCCCATCAAAGAGAATTTATGAATGAAACCTTTGAAAAACAAATTGCAAAAAATTCAAAGAGACATGATGTAATAGTAATTGAAGATTTCAATTATCCTGCTATCTTTTGGGAAGCAACTTCTGCAAAATATGGCCTTCCCAAGAAATTTAAGATACAAGAAGCCAAATTTTGGTTGAATATCAGAAAAAACTTCCTGTTAGAGTAGTACAACAATGGAACCATTGAGAAAAAGTGTCTAGCACTCTGAGATCAGATGACTCCTTTCCTCAGCTGGAAAGGGGATAATGGTCAAGAACTGCCCTTGTTTCTTTAGGAGGGTCCTCATAATTAATCTACCACAGAAAAAGCCTAACACTGCTATCCCTTTCCTTTAGTGACTCTAGGCTTCCTCAGAGTAATCTGCTATTCGTAGTAACTTACCATGTATTTATTGCTGGAGTTCACTGAGTGCCCTACTTCTCATTGCTTCTTCCTCTTCTGCATTTCTCCTTTTATATGCCCCATTAGTTTTGACATGGGAGCTGCTGGCTGATAGGATTAGGCCATGGGTCATTTTTTTATTAGACATACCTGGGACCGTATCGTCTATCAGTGATCACTCATTTATCATGGCTTTATAATGACAAAAGTTAGTAGAATAGATTTTGTTAAGAAAGTAGTCGTCACACTTCATTTTCTGAAGACATTTCCTCCTGTTCAGATCTGCTGAGCTGTGATTGCTTTCCTGTATATTGTTTTAATTGCTTGTAAACCTGGAACTATTTGCTTTTCTATGAGACACTTCCCCCATTTGTGCACTTCATGGTTCAGGTGGGAGCAATGTTGTCTTTCAGCAGAACGTCCACCTGTAAAAAATGCTGACTAGAATCCAGTTGGTGATTTACATGTGCAAAATTTAAATTTCATAACTCATCAAGATAAATTGCTGCTAATTAATGAGACACTGACCTTCTTACAAGATTTGTGGCTGATCGTGCAATTGGCTCATATCCAGTAATGCAACTGGGCCTCATTAGTTAGTTAGTGACAATTCAGTGTGATGAGTTATGCAATTTAACTTGGGCGCATGTAAATCAAATGTGTTCTGGCCATTGTAAATAGAAACAATATGGATGGAATGATAATAAAACTGAAATAATATTAGCATGTGACTATTCAGATAATTTGCTAGTTAATCAGATAAAGAAATACACCTTTCCATGAACTTTTTAAAAACCCTAGAGGAAAAACAAAGCCTACTCTAGAAAATACACAACCATCCCAAAATTGCTAGCTGGTGTTTAAGTGAAAGAAATTCTACACTAGTTCAACATGTAAATTGACCTTAAAAGCTTAACTGTTGACTTAAATAGAAACCACAGTTTCATAGAATTTATTCTTGTCTATTATTAAGCGGTTCTCTTGAAGGGATTTGCTTTCTACCTCTTGACTGTGTTTGTAGAACACACTTCTTTATCTGCCTCAACTGGCAATCTAAGAATTCTATCTTCCTTCTTTATATGCACATTACTTCACAGAACCACTGACCTGAATAATTTTAAATGTGTTTTGTCACTTGAAATGAGGTTTCCCGCACTCCCTCCTCTGTGTGTACTGAGTATGGTCCTATTTATTCTAGAAAACCTCTCATGCTAAAGACGTTCCCCCTTCACATTTACCTTTGTGTACCTGGCCTCCTGTTTGTTTTGCAACTCTGCCATGTAAGCGGTGATGATGATGTCATCACTGGTGATGTTAATCTTTATTTCAATTTAATTTAAAACTTCCTGTAACTCCCTGATGATTGTGAGGCTCCCTAGAGATCACCTTTGCCCTGGGAAAGTCCTAGGGAGCCTCCAGATGGGGAGAAATCTTAAATATCAGAAAGTCACTGGTGGATTGCTGCTGGCAGATTGGATCACTTTTTTTGACCTTTCAATAGGGGAAGACCCAAATGGTGGGTTGCAGGGTCAGGGCCTTTCTTTGTAGTGACTTCATTTTGTTGCTATAGGTCTTCAAATGGTGTTTAAGAGTTATTTTGTTTCATAAAGCCTTGTTTGAATGATTTTCCTTTTGTCCAGTTATGTTCTATCTGGTGTCTTTACGAAAGGTTTATCAGGAAGTATTATGAAGTTAATGCTTGTTCTAGTAGTCGCTTTGAAGGGGAAATGCAGGGTGCGAATTGCCTTAAATAAATGGATAGGTGTCAAACTTCACTGGAGCAATGGCTTGATCCTTTACTGTATAGCATTTTGGCTGCAGTTTATAGGACGAAGCAGTTAGGCCCTATTGGGTAGGACCATGGTGTAAGGGTAGAACGTCAATGCATCAATGCTTTTTTACAGCTTCATTGATCACTTTTTATACATTAATTTTTAATAAGTATATAGTTGATGTTGGCACCAATTGGGTATGGTAATCTCAGTACAAAAAGAAAAGGGGGGGGGGAAGAGGATAAAGAAGAGGAGGGGGAAATTCCAGAAGGAGAAAAGGGGTTTAAGATCAATGCTTTTCAGTTATAGCCGAATCATAATGGATCATTTGCATCTCAAATGTGCAGGTATAGATCAAGGATACCTAACTAGGAACAACACAGGTTCAAAAGTTGCAAGAATAGCTAGTTTTTTGACCACGGAAAGATCATCAGAGTGTATTTGGATTTCTAGCCTTCCAAGATCATGCGCTCAGCAATCTGAAGTCCATCTTGCAAAGACTTTCCAACTGCAGTGTCATACAAAATGCCTGGAGAGTACCCAGTATGAAATTAAGACTGACTAATACAACTGTCTAGAAAAGGGCCACCACCATGCATGGCCATGTCTTGGTGGATTATCTTGAATGGAACAGGATAAACAACAGTGGTGATGGATCCTTCATAGGACACCATAAGTGCAGTCATTTTTCTATACCGGAGCTATAATTAGTGTTGCTGTGTTCCTCTTCCTTTCACTACTAATTGATTAAGGAATAAAACTGAGGTAGAAGAAACTCAATTGATCAAAGCACAAGTACTTAACAGTTTCCTTAGTACTAGCTTCATGCTCAGCTCCAGGCAAAGTATAATTATGACAGTGTTAAAGCTCATATGTCATGTGATTTACATTCAGTCTTTATATTTGTGTAAGAAGAGAGGAAATGATAGGGAACAGTGGGTATAGGGCAGGATAATTAGGAGTTAATGGAATGTCAAGTGTGGTGATTTTAAAATGTTTTAATCAATGCCTAATGAATCTTTTTCATCCCAACAGGTGTCAAGATGAATGTCCAGTGGGGACCTTTGGAGTACAATGTGCAGAAACCTGCCAATGCATGAATGGTGGGAAATGCTATCACATTAGTGGTGCGTGTTTTTGTGAGCCAGGATATACAGGAGAACACTGCGAAACAAGACTGTGTGCAGAAGGTGTTTATGGTATCAAATGTGACACCAGATGCCCTTGTCATTTGCCAAATACCCACAGGTAAACGTCTGGAATAATCCATTAGAGAGCACTAGCTTGACGGCTAATTAAAAATATGAGAAAGTATTTGTTGCTTTTCAAACATCCTGACTAAGAAATGACAACCACAATCACAGTATTTCATAGACCTCAGACTCCAGTCATATGTGTACAAATAGATACTAATTTTTCAGTGTGTCCCTTCTGATGAAAGAAGCTCCAAGAATGTTGGCTTCAGGTTCTCTTAGTAAAAATAAGTCCCAGTTGAAAAGCGAGAGTGAAAAGCTTTATACGCCTTTCTACTATCAGTCACCTTATATAGTTTTGCAAGCTGCTGTTCAAACTTACCCAGTTTCCTCAGTTATTACCAACAACTGGCAGAACAATACTTTATTTAGTTTGGAATATTTGAAGAGACCCTTGTTCAGCAGGCTGAGGCAAAGAGGCAGTCCCGAAACAAGCAAAACCAGGGAGCTGGACAGGGGACAGATTGTATTTGTCTTCAGTGTGGAAGGGACTGTCACTCTCGAATTGGCCTTCTCAGCCACACTTGGACGCTGTTCCAAGTCCTCCATACAGAGCATGTTACCATAGTCCCTCGAGACTGAAGGATGTCTAATCTAAAAGTTTGGAATAGGAAATAAATGGGCACAGTGGATCACATTCCTTGTGATAGAGGAGAGCAAGATGGCAATGGGACATTTTTGAGTGATACCACTCTGACAAGCATTTGGAGAGTTTGTGTATTCTTTAATGAAAGTAGATTTTGTTAGAATTTATGCTTTTTAATGAGAAATATTTTGTGGGAACAAATGACAGCACTTTAAAAGAAATATCTGCACCATTTTGTGACAGAATTATCAAAGCAGAATATGTTTGAAAGTTCCAGTTGTTCGGTTTGTTCAGTAATTGATTTAGCATACAGCTACATCCCTTTCTCATTTTAATCAACATGCCTGTTTGCTAGTGTGTATGTTGTTTTTCTAAAAATACTGTAGGAGATAGTTAAGACAGTAAGTAATGGTTTGTGGTTTCAACGTTCTACCAATCCTTCTCATCTTATTTCTATTAAAGATTGTATATAATAGTCATGATTGGTTAATCTTTCAGAAAATTAACTAAACTTGTATGTAAACACTTTACCCTGACAGGAATGCATGGCATGGCATTGTATAGCATTTCTGATATTTCAAGGATTATGGCTGATTCATGTTCAACACAGCTGTTCATACATTTATACCACTGGATGACAGCTTGTGATCAAGTCAAACTACAACTGTTCTGATGTAAATAGAGGCACATGACTATATTTGACTATATACATGTTATTTTTATATTTTTGTGACAAATTGAATGGACTTAGCCTCAGTGTAGGCGTGGAATCATCTGTTTGTACATTTTACAACATAGTTGAGAAGAGCAAACAACTTAGTTGGTAATATAGAAGAAAAATAAAACATGTAAGATATGCTTGAATATATTTAAAATAAATTCATACCTGTCTCTTAAAACCAGAGTAAATACCTCTGACTATATATTAGCAATTATTTATCAGCTAACTTCTCCTAATTGTTTGATTTTGCCTGTCCCTATCATTTAGTAATCTCTTCTACTGAAAACAGAATGGAGTGACAGGAGTGTTAGAATGGCAACAGTTAACGCCAGATGAAGAATTGATGATAAAGTTATGACTTAGGTTGTGAGGCTGTAAACTGTATCTTTTTTGAATGCAAACACCATGTTCTCTGGTCCCATACAAAACACTGGGATGGAAAGAATAAGGACTGAAACAGAGAGGCAAGTGTTTTTTCCATCAGCATAGTGCTAACAGCAGCCAGTTTTCAAAAATGCACTCACCACAAGTATGTTATGGTCACATCTGTAGAAACATGAGAATCACTGGTTTAAAAACACCTAACTGGTCTTAGTGGTGCTTGGGTTTTTTGATTTGGATACAGTTATTGCCTCTTCTGCCAACTGTATAGCCATTTACTATCCCTGTCTTCTGTATAGAATGTGTTGCTAGCAGGGCAATATATGATGAGTTACAAACAGAGATACTAATTTGATGCTTTGCATGCAACCAGATTCCTAAAGAAGTGAACTTAAAACAAGTATGTGTAGCATTGCTTAACATCTGTGTTAACTAGACTTTGCCAATTAAACTGACTACACAAGAATCATCAAAAGCCTCCCAAGTGTTTCTGCTTCCTATATTTAATTGCAAATTATAGAATACTAATTTTGGTGTCAATCAAAATATGTGCACGTGTGCCTTACTACCGCTCATTCGGGAAAGAGAAGAGGGGTACAGAATAGCAATCTCACAGTTTGGATTCACTTTACTGTGCACGTGCTCTATAGCTTTCAGAAAGGAGAGTGAGAGCGAGATAGAGCACTCTTGTGTGAAAATAATAGTTCTTGTATTTTTATTTATTTATTTATTTTTGCTGGCTTGCTTTGATTATGATGTCTGTAGCTGACTGAACTGGAATATCTTTCTGAGGTGCACTGTTTTAATATTCTATATTTTTGAAAGACTACTGGGTCTTGCAAAAGCCTTCCTCATTGCAGCAACTAATTGATTATATATAATAAATAGTAACAGGTTTGATGGCATTTAAAATATTTTTCAAGTAAAATGAAAAATGGTTAGAGGTAAAAAGCATGATTCTGTTTCTGTTCTGATTACACTATAATATTATATTCATTAAGACCTTACAGTTCAGGAAATGGCCTTACTCATATTGCCAGTCAGTTCAGAGAGATTAGAGCTGGACTGTTTCTCTGGCTTTGAGACAAGGCTGATTCGTATGTTGCTTCTGCAGGTTTTTTTGTTGTCAGTTTTCCAGTTTGCTGAAGCGCCAAAATGTTCCAATACCAGCCATTTGTGTGAAGCTGTCGTCATGCTAGGGCAAGAATGGACAAATTGTGGACCTCCAGATTATGGTAGACTACAACTCCCATCAGCCCTGACCAATAGTGGGGAATGGTAGGCACAGCCATCAAGCAGTATTTGAAGGGGCCACAAATTGCCCCTCCTGTTATTTAAGGGAATCATGGAACTCAAAAGCCTGTCCCTTAGAATAATCCAACCTAGAGGTTTACAACATGTGGATGCCCTTACAGCCTCAGTCAGTTTAATCCCTCAAATTTTCACATATTTTCAGTGTCATCTCTGCTGTCTGAGTCTATTTAACTGTTTCACTTTTGGCACAAGTCTGACAGAATAACCCTAATGTTGTATGTGTGATATATTGAGAAGTCACTATTGGCTGAAATAGGAGACAGCAGAGTCCTCACAAGGTTGATTTGAGTCTTGGAATTAAGTAGCTGCATAGACTAGTGAAGGTAGGATACGTGCACCTGAAGTATAAACAGGTATTATTATTAACTACCGTATTTTTCGCTTCATAAGACACACCTTTCCATAAGACACACCAATTTGTTAGGAGAAGAAAACAGGAAAATATAATCTGTTTTCTTTGCTCCATAAGACGCACAGACTTTCCACCCCCCTGTTTTGTGGGGAAAAAGTGTGTCTTATGGTGCGAAAAATACGGTACTTCTTGCAACAGAAATATATTACTGCTTTTGGGGGATGGTTCAGGCATGATTTAGGAGCACAGCTCAGTCTAGGATCCAAACACAGGATCCAGATTAGTCTCCTGAGCCAGATATAGGGAAGAAGTAGCATGTCTCCCAGATCTTACTTTCATTAACATTGTGGCCTATCCATCCTGTGTCTCTGTCCATCATGTACACGTGTCTACCCCTTTCTCCTATGGCAAAGAAAGGTAAAACATGATAATAGAGCATCATGGTCAACATCTTCCAGCAGCCATGCATACAACATGATAAAAAATATTATCTCTATGCAACTGCTATTTATAGAAATATATGTTTATGAAACAAAGACAAAAAGACAAGGTTTAAATATTTGAAAAGATGTGTATATGGCTAGAGCTCTGCCATCATAGAAATTTCACCCATCATTTCTATTTATCTGGTCTCCCTCTGAGTGGTAAATTTTGTTTTGATGTCTTGGGTTTTTATTTTACCACTGCTTTATTTATTTCCAGTATATGTATGTATGTATGGTACATTCATTCTCACTTCATTATTATTTAATGATTTGTCATTTTGTGTAATGCTGAAAGCTGTGTTAAAAAAGCAATATAAAATATTTCAAATATTGAAATAATAATAACAAATAATTATTTTAAGCCATCCCTCTCATACTCCATCCTTGTGGAGTACAAATGAAGAATAAGTCAGAGCAAGCATTGTCCTTCTTCACACGCACATGTTAAAAATGTATTTGAAAACATAGGATGTGTGTGTTAGCTTTTGTAAGAAGATATATTTTTTCCAGAGGTGGCCGTGTTTTCTTAATAGTCATAAAAGAACAGAAAACAGTTGTGAATTACATTGACATAAATGAGCAAGGAGTCTGGAGCCTTGTTTTTAAACCATTGAAGGAAGCAAGTCTTTTCTTACAGTTCGCTTAATGCATCTGGACCTGGTTGCATTTCCCCTTCTCTCAAAATGCCCTAGGGAATATTACTTCAATCAGTGATCAGAATCCATCTTTAAACAGGCTGCCCGTTATAAGCATAATTGATCTGGATATTAAGGCTTCCTTTTGGTTAGCGTTAAGCTAAGTGCTTTGTCTGCCAGAGTACCACAGAGAACTCCATTGTGTCCACTTTCCCCAGCATATATATCTTAGCACAGCTGATGGTGCCCATTTGTTATGAGATAACAGCTGTGTGGCGGGCCATTGAATGAAGCTGCTGTTTTCAGGTAGAGACAGCTGGTCTGTCACCAGGTATGGAAATGACAGGCTGTTCACATTCTCCAAGGCCATATGTAAGAGTGCCCTTGACCTTTCTCCTGTAAAATGACTGGTAGGAAAGGAAACAGTTGCAGACTGCAGCCCCATCTTAAGTGAAGAGTTTCTAGGTTTATCAGTCAGAGCCAAACTCGCAACTTAAATGCATCTTTGTGGAGTTTTTTTTTTTAAGGCAAATAACATAGGTTCTAGAGGCAGATAATTATAAAGGTTGCAACCAGTATAGAGGGTGGAATTTTGCCTTTGACCCCCTAATGTGATCCTGGGGAAGATGTCGTTTCCTTTGTTGGAGATTCCTGTTGCAAGGGTTCATTTAACCTCATGTCTAATAATGTCACTTCACAAAGAACCTTATGAACATATCATTTTTAAAATATTCTTTCAATGAATATTTCATAATGAAACAGAATGCAAATTACAACCATGATCTCAGTGACAGTCATTTTTGTTGTTGCAGGATTTGGAGCATACTAAACATGCTTGAAACAATGGGATTTTTACAAATCATATGAAAGGATGTTGTTGTTGTTTGTTTATATTTGTTTTTATCATAGCCAATGTTCAACATTATTAATAACCATATTAAAGTAAATACTTCACAGGGTGGATGGATGAAAAATAAATTAGGTGGAGCATAAAATAACTGCTGTTCTTATCGCTATTATTTTACTAAGTAGTGTAATATTACAAGATATATTTCTGCTCACTCCCACCCTGCCAAATGTGTGCATTTTAAAAGAAGTCCTCTGTGCTAAATCCTTTTATAATATATCTATAACAGTATTCTGCTGCATTGGGCTTGCTGGTGTCATATTTAGCTCCAAATGTTTTGTTCCTTTCATCCCTTTGTGGCAGCTGTCACCCAATGTCTGGAGAATGCTCCTGCAAACCGGGCTGGTCTGGACTCTACTGTAATGAGACCTGTTCCCCCGGATTCTACGGCGAATCTTGTCAACAGATCTGCAGTTGCCAAAATGGTGCTGACTGTGATAGCGTGACTGGAAAATGTGTCTGTGCCCCAGGATTCAAGGTACAAAGTTCTGATCCTCATTGCCAGCTATTTGAACAGTTACCAATCCTTCAGAAATAGTGTCTGCATTTTCAAGCAAAAACTAATAATGAGCAAATTAACTGAAGATGGGGGCTAGAATAATTTTTTTTAAAAAGGAATAGAAAAGTTTAAAACTCACATGTACAGAGTGTGCAGTTTAATAAATTGATTTCCTAGAATCATCTGCCCTGTATAGAGACAGAGAAGGATGGAAGACTGCTAATGAAGCATGAATATTAACTACACTAGAGAAAAAGCTTCAAGAATTGTTGAATAGAAAATACTTCCCCCGCCCCCCATGGGAGTTAAGTGATGGTGTTGCATAATGCTCATTCTAAATAAAGCATGTGGCCCATAGGGTTCTCCTGCTACTGTCATGATAGGCCAGCCAATGCTAGAATTGTGCTCCTCACAATGCAGATGTTTTAGTTCAAATGCTTAAAAAGGGGAATATGCATTCAAGATGTCTTCTCCTTGGAGGAACAAGAGAGAAGGGGGAAATGGAAAGAAGTCACATCAGCAACTTTAAGAATAGCATTCTAAAGCAAAAGGAGGGTCAACATAGGTCAGAGCAGGTAAAAACAGTCTAGGAAACCTCTCTGTCTATTCTTTTCCATGCAAGGACATATTCTCAAGTGTAAGCTGAGCTGCTCCCAGTTACTTCCAACAGGAAAAGCATAATGCTTTATGCAAATAAAGAACAGTGTTTGCACACACTGTATTAAACAGCTCTTAGACATCGTCGTCGTTAGTCGTGTTTGACTCTTCGTGACCCCATGCTCTTAGACATTGTCGTCGTTTAGTCGTGTTTGACTCTTCGTGACCCCATGGACCAGAGCACACCAGGCCCTCCTATCTTCCACTGCCTCCCGGCGTTGTGTCAAATTCATTCTGGTAGCTTCAATGACACTGTCCAACCATCTCATCCTCTGTCGTCCCCTTCTCCTCTTGCCTTCACACTTTCCCAACATCAAGGTCTTTTCCAAGGAGTGTTCTCTTCTCATGAGATGGCCAGAGTACTGGAGCCTCAGCTTCATGATCTGTCCTTCCAGTGAGCATTCAGTTCTTATTTCCTTTAGAATTGATAGGTTAGTTCTCCTTGTAGTCCAGGGGACTCTCAAGAGCCTCCTCCAGCACCACAGTTCAAAGGCATCAATTCTTTGGCGGTCAGCTCTTAGACATAGGTTCTGCTTTAAAATTAAATGATGGCAACTACTCATTCAACAGCTGATGACCTCATTATTACACTTAAAAGAGAGAGAGAGATAGGATCTAATAAAATCATTCTCAATTGATATTGTTGTGTTTTCATATCTTTTATCATACATGTTTCAGGGTTCGGATTGTTCTATTCCTTGTCCTCTTGGAACATACGGAGTAAAATGTTCATCGACCTGCAACTGTAAAAATGAGGCCATCTGTTCCCTAGTGGATGGCTCTTGTACCTGCAAAGCAGGTAAGATAAATAATTTACCTCTTTTATTACGTAATTCATATGAAACATTTTTAAAAATTAGAATGGACCATTAACACAAGTCAAAAAGAATTTAAGGCAATTATCAATGTTAACATTAATAATTACTTTAACCTTATAACATTATGATATAATATTACTGGTTCCTTCCAGTGTTTGTAGAGGTGTCAAATACGAACAAGAATGTGCTTTTCTCCCAACAGGCATATTCCTCTCTCACTCCTTCTAATTATTACATCTAGGCACTATTTTTATAATCAAGGTATCTTTAAAAAATCCAGTACTGCTCGTTTTAATCTATAGTGTTGTACAAGTACCAAAGTATGAGACCAAAAAGGCAGCAAAAATAAATTTTCAAACTTCACCATGAAATAGGTGGGAAATCTAATTAACAAAGCATGCAATTTTGTCATTAGAGACTCTGATCATGAGGCAGATTCATCAGAACACATATGTTTTGAATGACATATTGATTAAATTCAGTTCAGTTTTCCTTTCCTATCCTGCGAAGGGTGTAAAAAAATGAAAACCCAGTTTGAGTCATTGTGGATCATATACAATTCCTAAACTTAGTGGCTGAAATGTTATTGCACTTGGAGCAACATAAAGCTATGCCTGCAGTAGTTCACAGACACTGACACCCAGGCAATTTTTGTGTTCTGTCATACAAATAACTGTGCAAATAATCACGCAGCTGCATTCACAGAACAAATTCCTGGATATCTACCCTGGCAAAAGTTTTACAATGGCTTGCACAGCTTCACATTATGGAGGCATTTCAGGAAATTGTTCTCCCAGTCTTGATCAGAAAGGACATCTCAGTAAACTTCAGTATAACAACATTGACCATCAGTATCATCTTCAAACTAATTCCATATGTACATAGCACATTCCTCTTCAAGGACAGCACATTATTTTCATATTTACAAAAAGAGATAGGCATGAACCGGAAAACAGGTGGTTCATGATATTTAGTGGTTCGTGGCTACCCATGAACCACAAACTACAAGCTAGCATGAACCTCCCCACCCCCAAAATGAATTGGTTTGTGGTTCAGACATATTTGGGGAGAAAAGGAGATGTAGGAGGAATTTACCTCACTTGAACAAGGTATCTCCCCTGCCATGTAAGTATTAAGGCACTATTAAGGAACTTACCATGATAACAGCCAGATACATCCACTCCATCATGCAGAGGCGATGCAGCGTGCTGTCACAGAATGCCCAACCCTAACTATGCTATTTGGCTGTTCCCTACCATGTTAGCTGTTGAATGTTTTATTTGCATCTTAGTGTGTTTTAATTTTGTACAGTATGCCAGTAAAGGTTTCTGTCTGTCTCGCTTGAACAACACATGGTGTTCATGGTCATGATTTATTTTACAAAAAAGAAAGCCAAAATGGAGAAGCCATGTGTGAAAAACTAAGTACACCTTATGATAGCTTGTAGAACCACCATTAGGAGCAATAACTTGACTCCTAATGACTTTATGACTTTATCAGTCTCTTACATCATTGTGGAGGAATTTTGGTGCACTCTTCTTTATAATGTGGTTTCAATTCATTGAGGTTTGTGGGCATTTGTTTATGCACAGTTCTCGTAAGGTTCTGCCACAGCATTTCAGTTGGGTTAAGGCCATTGCAATACCTTGATTTTTTTCCCCAACCATTCTATTGTAGATTTGCTGGTGTGCTTGGGATCATTGTTCTGTTGCATGATCCAATTTCAACCAAGCATTGGATGTTAGACAGATGGCCTCACATTTGACTCTAGAATACTGTGTTATACAGAGGAGTTCATGGTTGACTCAATGACTACAAGGTGCCCAGGACCTGTGGATGCAAAAGAAGGCCAAATCATCAACCCTCCACCACTGTGCCTGATAGTTGTGTTTGTGCTGATATGCTGCGCTTGGTTTTCACCAAACGTGGCACTTTGCATTATGGCCAAGAATCTCCACTTTGGTCTCATCTGTCCAAAGGACATTGTTCCAGAAGTCTTGTGGTTTGCCCAGATGCAACTTTGCAAACCTAAGCCATGCTGCCATTTTCTCTTTAGAAAAGCTTTCTCCTGAAAACCCTTCCAAACAGACCATACTTTGTTCTTCAGTCTTTTTCTAATTCTACTATCATGAACTTTAATATTTTAAATGGTAGCTGAGACCTGTATAGTCTGACATGTAAATCTTGTTTTTTTTTAAATTTATTTTTTCATTGCACAGTCGACTTACCTAAGCCATGCTGCCATTTTCTCTTTAGAAAAGCTTTCTCCTGAAAACCCTTCCAAACAGACCATACTTTGTTCTTCAGTCTTTTTCTAATTCTACTATCATGAACTTTAATATTTTAAATGGTAGCTGAGACCTGTATAGTCTGACATGTAAATCTTGTTTTTTTTTAAATTTATTTTTTCATTGCACAGTCGACTTTGAGGTGAATAATGTTAGCTGAGAGCTGTATAGTCTGATATGTAAATCTTGTTTTTTTTTTAATTTATTTTTTCATTGCACAGTCGACTTTGAGGTGAATTTGCTTGGATGTTCACTCCTGGGAAGATTGGCACCTGTCTTGAATGTCTTCCACTTGTGAATAATCTTCCTCACTGTAGAATGATGGACTTTAAATGGTTTGGAAATGGCCTTCTAAAGCTTCCCAGACTGATGAGCAGCACCGATTGCTTCTCTATGATAACTGCTGATGTGTTTCCTCCTTGGCATTGGGTTAACACACCCCTGAATGGTCTAGACCAGCAAACTGCTAAAACTTCAGCTTTTATAGATGTGGTCACACTTGCTGATGATCAATTACTCAAGGGCATTGGGTTAACAGCACCTGGCTGCTATTTAGCCTCTTAATTCCTTTGGAAGTAGTGAGAGTATACTTAGTTTTTCACACTTAGCTTCTCTATTTTGGCTTTATTTTTGTAAAATAAATCATGATGTGGTGTAATATGTCATGTGTTGTTGTTCATCTGAGGTTGTATTTACCTAATTTTCAGACCTCATGAGGACCAGATGATTTTTATTACGCCCTGATATGTAAAACTATAGAGTTCAAATAAGGTGTACTTCCTTTTTCACATGACTGTATTTTACAATATTTATACCAGATCTCTTGCTCGTGTACAAGGTGGGGGATGGACTCGATGGCCTTATAGGCCTACTAAATTATTCTATGATTCTAAGAAAAAAAATAAACCATGAAAAATAAAACTTAACACAAAATAAAACCTCCAGCAAAAAATAGGTTAGACATTTAAAAATTCCAAGTAAATATAAAATTTTGAAAACCCTAGGAAAGTAAGAAGTTCTTTTCCTAACAACAAAATATGTAATGTAAGCATCAGGAAAGCATTTCAGAGCAGGGCATTCCATAACTAGGATGCCCACTACTGAAAAAAGCGCCCTTTCTCTTTGGTAGTTGTGCATTGGATGTTGGCACATAGAGACATCTTGCTGAAAAAAATGTTCAGCTACTGCAGAACATTTCACTCTTACACGAGAATTGAAGCAACATCTTTCATCAATAACAGCATTTGCAAAGCAACAAAAAAAAATTTTTACTCAGAAATCTTGTATTTTTTCACAAAATGAAATGTTTTCTGCACAAAATGGAAAAAAAATCTACTTTCATAATATCCTTTGTGAGGAGAAAACTTTTTTTAAAAAATTATTGCCTGTGAGAAATAGGCAAATATTTACCTCTTTAGTTGGGAGCAAAATTTGAGGAAGCTTCAGACAAGTAAGGACATTTCTACACAGAGCGAGGTTTGCTACTTTTGCCATTAAAATGGGATAATTCCAGGGTTTTACATAATTGCATCCAATCATGGTTTAAACAGATGGTGCCCCTTTATGATGACTGATTTGAGGACAGGAATTAGTGGTCCTGGGTACATCTGTTTGGATTAACCTCATTTAGAAAATAGAGTAGACAACAATATCCATGTAAATACATTACATAATGTGATAACATGAAATGGGGGTGATTCCCAGAACCTTCTCTCCAAGTTTCCTTTGAGTTGTCTTCTGACTTTGCTGTTTGGTTAAGTGCTGCTGCTGCTGTTTTTCATCAAGGAACTCTTTCAGAATCAGAATTTAAGGCTGGAAATAAACATTTTGTTCTATTGTGGCAGGTTGGCATGGAGTGGACTGTTCTGTAAAGTGTCCTAGTGGGACATGGGGTCTTGGCTGCAATTTAACATGCCAGTGTCTTAACGGTGGGGCATGCAATACCCTGGATGGCACTTGCACTTGTGCTCCTGGATGGAAAGGGGACAAATGTGAGCATCCATGTCCGGTAAGTAAACAGAACCCACTAGAAGTTGAGTCTTGGGGTTGTAATAATAGACACATGTTTGAAGGTAATATTTTGTTTTTATCATCATTGCTTCATAATTTTATTGCCAGTACCGTCATATGTGGAGTTAGAAAAATATGTTTGGACTATCTTCAAAATAGCGAAATATATTGAGAGAATTTCTTTTTCTCAAATCTGATTAGATCCATAGGAAATGCTTCTTTTAATCTGTTATCCTGCATGCAAAAATGGATTACAAAGATAAACCAATGACTGTTATTCTCTCCTCACATACCATGTTGTACTTTAGAAGTAAATGATCCATACCACTTAATAGCTAATCCATCAACTATTATAAAAGTATAGCTGTGAATGTCAGATATCAGCAAATGAATTGTATATTGGCCCACATTTCAGATTTCAGTGTTACTATGACCAATTTTAGCTTTGTGCCACACCCAGTGATTTTTCTCTACCCATAGAAGTGATTGTTGTAAAAAATAATTGCTGCCATGTATCTCTGTGATCATCAGATCTCTTTTCCTGATGTTGAATTTTTTTCCCCTCTTTCTTTTCCTTGTGATGGAAAGGAATTCTAATGGCAACTTTTTATGCTAAAGGTTGACTCTGTTGCAGCAAGGGTTAACCCTTTGCTTCATATGCTGTTTCGCCAGTGTGAATCCCCCACTTCAAGCAGCTGCTTCTCCACTTAAGGAAAACAGTTGTTATGTGCCTTCAAGTCACATCTGACTTATGGTGATTCTAATAAAGTTTTCAAGATATTTCAGAAGTGATTTTATCATTGCTATCCCTCCAGTGGGTTTACATGACTGAGCAAGGATTTGAACCCAGGTCTCCAGAGTCCTAGTTCAATACTCTATAGTCCTAGTTCAACATACTGCTGTTTTCCCTGATAGCCAAGGTTGTGTAGTGAAAAATGACCAGTTAGAAACTACTTACTGTGGGAACCTTTTGTGGGGTTTGGTTAGTAATGAGCATCTAAATTTATTAAAATAAGACTATATACTCTTTCATCTGTCACAAACATGTTTAATCCTATTCCTGCATATTGCCACTTCAGTGAGCAATTTTGGTTCTCACTGAGGTGATTATTCCACATTCTCTTGTATGTGTTTATGTGGTAAACAAATACATTGTTCACAACCATTCTTGTTAGTTCTCTTTTTCACATATATTAGGAGATGTGCATATTATCTGGTATGGTGAGTGAGTTCATATACTGTTATGAATGCATGCAACTGCCATTTTTAGTGATCATTACCCAATCAAAGATTTCCCAGCAGTATGAGGCTATGTGATGTATGCCACCGGCCTCTACAAGTACATTCACCATTGCTTTATCTTTTCTTTTCCAACAGGATGGCACATATGGATTGGATTGTGCAGAGCGCTGTGACTGCAGTCATGCAGATGGTTGTCACCCAACTACTGGCTACTGTCGCTGCCTCCCAGGATGGTCAGGTAGAGCTGAAATCAGGGAGGCAATAAGGGGAGGGCTTCCAAAACAGAATAGGTAGTTGTTGATCTCCTGCTTAAACAGAGAATATGAAAATCCCCAGATTTTGTATTCTCTGCTTATGCACGCAAGCAGAAAGTACAAAATATTGAAATCTTTCATAATATCCATCCTTATGTGTGTAAGCAGAAAAAAGAAAACATATTTATGTTATCTAAGTATTTTAGTGAGTGTGGCTAATCTGACCACTTCACAGAGCCCAAGTACAATATTTTGAGTTAGTTCTTCCTTGAAAACTGTTATCTGAAACAAGAAAACTGTGGTGCCCAAAGACTGGTCAATATGTTTTTGAATATTTTTGTTTCTGATGTCAGTCTGATGTCAGATCCTTTTCAGACAGAGGGAATGCTGTAGACATAGTATATATTGACTTCAACAGAGCTTTTGACAAAGTGCCCCATGATGTTCTGATCAGCAAGCTAACTAGGTGTCAGCTGGATATAACAACTGTCAGGTGGATATACAATTGGCTAAAAATCATACTTAGAGGGGGATGATTAATGGCTCCTTCTCAAACTGGGAGGAAATACAAGAAGGGTACCCCAGGGCTCAGTCCTGGGCCCAATGCCCTTCAACATTTTTATTAATGACCAGGATCAGGGGAATGCGGGGAATGCTAATCACATTTGCGGAAAACACAGAATTGGGTGGAATAGCTAATACCATGGAAGACAAAAACAAAATTCAAAATTATCTAGATATGAATGAAATTCAACAAGAATAAGTGCAAAGTACTGCACCTAGGAAAAAGAAATCAAACACAAGAGGGGGGATACCTGGCTCAGTAATACTGTGAGTAGATGGATCTTGGAATTGTTGTAGATCACAAACTGAATATGAACCAAAAGTGTGATATGGCTACAAAAAGGCAAATATTATTTTAGGCTGTATTAATAGAAATGTTGTCTCTGGCTTGACGCTGCGATGAGACAGCAGCAGGAGGATGGGGCTCCGTCTCCTGGGCTGAATTCCAACCTGTTTGAGACCCCTAGGGGGTTAAAACTACCCTGAAGAGATGGTGAAACAGGGAAGAAGCCTGTTGATCATGGGGGAGCGGTGGTTACCCACATTTGATCCAGGAAACTCCCTAATTGACCAGTGGGCGGAAACAAGCAGCTGAACTAGCTTGCTTGCAAGTTGTTGGCAGCTGATTATGAAGAAGCGATAAAACAGCCTAATTAACATTGTGCTACAGATGGGCGAGAAACATCTTTAAAAACTGTATTGATTATGAAGAAGCGATAAAGCAGCCTAATTAACATTGTGCTACAAATGGGCGAGAAACATCTTTAAAAACTGTATCTATTTACTATCCCTGGACAAGACAACTTCTGCGGCAGAAATAGCATCTCATAGCTCTCCATCATTAATTGAACTGCGGAGAAGCTGGGGAGAGGAAGAGACGGAGGGAGACACAAGGAAAATGAATTGGGAATTAATTAGACACTTCATTATACAGTGGTGCCTCACTTAACGACGTTAATCCGTTCTGGAAAAAACGTCGCTAAGTGATTTAATCGTTAAGCGATTTTTAAAAGCCCATAGAAACGCATTAAAATGTGTTTAATGCGTTCCTCCATAGGGGCAGCCATTTTCGGTGCCTCTTAAGCGAGGCAAAACTGCGGGGGCCATTTTGAAACCACCTATCAGCTGTTTAAAAACATTGCAAAAGCGGGAAGGAGAAACGTTCCCATCTGCTCTCCTTGTCGAGGGAGCCATTTCTCCTTATCTATCTTTTTTTTCTCTCCCGCCCGCCTGCCTGAGCCCGCCACTGCTTTCCTCGACCAAGTGTGTGGTGTGTGTGTTTGCGTGCGCGCGCACACATGTGTGCACGTTCCCTTTCCCCTCGCCCCAATGGAGCCCAAGACCGGACTGCCGGGATTGGCTGCCCAGGGCCCCGAGCTCTGCCCGCTTGAGCCTGGCTTGGAAGAGAGCGAGAAGGAAGGGAAGGGGAAAAAGACAGAAGGCAGGGGAGGCAAGGAGAAAAGAGCAGGTGCTCCCTGCGTTGCCTAATCTGGAGCGGGAGCCTGGCAGCGGCGGAGCAGCAGCAGCAGGAGCAGGAGCAGCCACCACCGTGGCCTGCTAGTCTGAGGAGGAGTCAGCCCCGTAGTCCTCTCTGCTCCTTGGACGCAGGGCAAGGCAGGCGGGTGTGTGTGTGTGTGGTGGAGGGCGGCACTTCTTTCCCTGCCGCGGAGCAAAGTAGCCATTTGGAGGGCGGGGGATGGAGGCGGCTGTACGGGGAGGTTGGGGTGGACAGTCTTTGACCCCCCCGGCTCAGAGGGGCAGGAGGTGGACATGTGGGTGTCCTGACGGCCCAAGTGGCCGCAGAGGCTCCCCTCGCGAGGAGGGGGAAGGACGGACTCCGGGCTAGAAGGCAAAAGGGGGAAGCCAGCAGAGGAGAGAGCGGCCGGTGGTGGTGGTGGGACTCCTAGTGGAGGGTGGGCTTCCACGGGATCCCTTGGCCGGGATGAGAGGCTCTCCCTTAGCCCGCCGCTGCTCTGCTCTCCTCCAGGTGGATCCTCCCACCTCCTCCCGGACGTGCAAGGGTCGCTTTGCCATGATCGCAAAGCGATTTATCCCCATAGGGGCCATCACTAACCGATCGCTCTGGCAATGGCCAAAACCCCATCGTTAAGCGATTTCATCGTTAAACGAAGCGATCGGTAAGCTAGGCACCACTGTACTTAAAGGAAGGAAGTTTGGTATTAAAACTTAAGACTTTTTCCCCCTGAAAACACTACTGATAACTTTGGAAAAAAAATCTGTCTATGCTATGTGTAACAGCTATCTAAGGCATTGGCAAAATGCCTAGAATCAATGACCTTGAACATTCTATGACTATTTGGAACTCCCTTTCTCTTTGAGGACGGAACTGAACTACAGACAAATTAACCCTAGAAAGCCTAATTTATTCAAAGTGGAATTTACAAACTGTATCCTGGATGTTGACCTGGATGGGATCTTGAGCTTTGAGGCGGGGAAAATTCTCTATGTAGGAGAATGGATTCAAGCTTAATGGAGCTGGATTGATTACTTTAAGCATATGGACAACTTTAACTTGGAATACAGTTTTTTGACAAATGGAACATAATGACACAAGAATTTTGGGAGGAAACAAAAATCTACCCTTCAAGCAATCTTAGAAATAGTGAGATCCCACAACGAACAGGGAAAATTATTCACGGCACAGTTGAAGAAGAATAATAGTCAAAAGGAGACAGGAAATAATGAATAAGGGAATGAGAGGGCAGTGGATCATGTATGCCAACCTAAAGAAGGCCTGGAGGAAATTAATATGGAAAATCTGGTGGAGTTGAGGAGAGTCTTAAGGGAAGATAAGAGGAGAAAATCAGCAGAATCAAGTAAAAATAGCCTGGAAGATCTATTGGAGATAGACCAAGTGTATAAAGATCTATTGGAGGTAAATCAAATGCATAAAATGGCCTTAGAGGACACAAAAGATGGCAGAATGTTTAGAAAGACGGAAACAAAAATTGAAAAAAGATTAAGAGAAGGAATTACACAAAAAGATGAAAAAGGGAAAAACACAGGAAGGTGGCCCTCAATGTTGGAAAGCATGTATATACCTAACTTCTGGAATTGCAGCGGGGCATAACTTATATATTAAAAATGATAATTAAACTGAAATAAGGGAGCACTGATCAGGGTAAATTAAACTAATTAAATTAAACTAATCAGCAGTTTGAAAGCATGTAAAAATGCGAGTAGATAAATAGGTACCCCCTCGGTGGGAAGGTAACAGCGTTCCGTGTCTAGTCGCGCTGGCCACGTGACCATGGAAACTGTCTTTGGACAAACACTGGCTCTATGGTTTGGAAATGGGGATGAGCACCACGCTCTAGAGTCGGACATGACTGGACTAAATGTCAAGGGAAATATTTACCTTTACCTAATCAGGGTAAAGGCATAATGTGGTGTTGTTGCTGTTTTAAGGTGAATTGAAGCTAGATATAAGGTTGGGGTAAACAAATAGTACATAATGAACATGCATTAGATATTATATTGTTATAGACAGGATAACTAAGCCCTATGAGGAAAGACTGAAATAATTTTCTCAAGAATTTAACCTTGAGAAAAGACGACTGAGAGGAGATATGATATCACTTTTCACATACCTGAAAGGCTGTCATACAGAGGAGGGGCAAGATCTGTTCTCGATCATTCCTGATTCCAGGACATGCAACAATGGGTTCAAGTAACAGGAAGCCAGTTTTTTGTTGAATATTTTGTTGAAAAACTTCCTAACTGCTAGAGAAGTATGGCAGTGGAACCAATTACCTTGAGAGGTGGTGAGTGTTTCAACACTGGAGGCATTCAAGAGAAATTTAGACAACCACCTGACAGATATTAATTTGTATTTCTGCATTGAGCAGGAGGTTGGACTAGACGGCCTTACAGACCCCTTCCAAATTCATCATTCTATGATTCATTATTCTATGAGCAGAGATTTACTTATCTGGAACATGTAAGGACAATGGTGATGGAAGGTACCATAGGTTTCATTGCAACATGGTCAAGTAAATGAACATTTAACATTATGGGTGACGTTATTGGATCCTTTACTAGTGTTGCTATGGTACATATGGGGAGAGAGTCAACTTCTGTGTCTGTTCCATCATCTGGTCTCTATATTTATATTCTACCTGTTTGTTTATATCCCTGTGTTTAAATTCTTACCTGTTCTTGCTGCCAAATACAGTGGTGCCTCGCACAACGGGCGCCTCGTAGAGCGCGCAACCATTTCGGGCCTTCCGGCAGCATTTTCGCGCGCTCCCCTTGCTTACCAAGGGCGCGAAAACGCTGTGCCCCGGCCCCTTTCGGCTGTTCCGGTGGCCATTTTGGACCCGCCGGACAGCTGATGGCAGCCATTTTGGCGCCCTCGTAGTGCGAGGGGAGGGCGCGAAATTGGCTGCTGGCCCCTGGG